TTAATTGAAACATTTAATCACGTATTAAATACGCTCAAAACCTCACAGCTCCAAATCAAAACCCTCGACTCCAAAAAACTCCCATAGTCAGTGGAAGTGTTGGGCTGAAACCAATGGCGGTGGAGGTACAGCCGATGGTAGTGCCGGTGGTAGATATGGCAATGCTGGTGGTTGGGATGGACTTGCTACTGGATTTGGCGGAGGTCGCGGTGGTGGGACTTGAGATGGCCGATTGGTTGAGTTGGAATCTATTTAAGACGTGGAAGTTCATGAGTGTGTTGACATAGAACGGGATAGCGAGTCCGGCTGTAGGTCTTGGTTATGGCTTGGCTCCGGTGCATTGACCCGAAATTTGCTCTGGTTGGAGCCCCATTATGAGTGCAGCAGAAACTGTAAAGAAGACTATGAGAGTGGCTGCAATGATTAACTGGAATTTGAGCTTGGAAATTTTGGGATTTGAAGTGGGTTCATTTTCCAATTAGGTTCTTCTTGATGAAGCTTCAAGCTCAATTGATTCGAGCCTACCATAATTTGAGCTTGGATTTTTTGGGATTTGAAATGGGTTCATTTTCCAGTCGGGTTCTTCTTGATGAAGCTTCAGGCTCTATTGATTCGAGCCAGCCATTGCCCATTCTATTTAGTATTACACAGTATTTTTTACTTCTAAATATTGTTTGTATAATTTTTCAAAAGACATCTAATTTTAAGGGTATTTTTGTAAGTTGCCCAAGAGTAATTATATTCAAACTATAATTTTTTATTTGTTTAGGATTTTAAATCTTTGCTCATTAGATCACTTATATCCCTAATGATTTTTCATATCATTCTTATTCTCAAACTTTTCATTAATTGATACATTTTGTATTTGATGACAGTTTTATATCCAGAAGTCCGTTGAAATGACGTAAAATAACCTATTTTCCATCATATTAAAAAAAAGGTCAATAAAAAGTGCAGAAAATATTTTTCCATTTCGAAACATGAAATAAAATATTTTGATATAAAACATCATCAATGATGAAATGTACTAATTAATGTAAGGTTGGGGATAAAAATTCGATGAAAAAAGTTGAAGAAATAATTGCTACAATGAGCAAATATTTAATAGGTTGGGGACACATATATAACCAAAAAAAATTGTGGTATCAATATAATCACCCAAACTCAAATGCTAGGAACTGAGGGTCCCAAAATATTTTGTGGAAAACCTATACATTTCCATTTTCCAATAGGTTGGGGACCCATATATAATATTGCGTACATTAGATTTTTGATGAATATTAAGATTAAATTACATTCAATATTCTTAGGTTCCTGATCATGGCACATGGGATCCCAAATCAAAGAAAAAGCCGACCTACTTCATTATTATTCAATAGTTAGCTTGTTCATATATCGACAACTAAATACTAAGTAATATTTTTTTAATTGAAACCCCTCCAATAGTTATGCTTTATAAAGCCCTCAGCAAGGCAGATAGTTATAAACAAAAATTGTTCAAACAACATAGTATGGATCAAGATCCAAAATCATGGCCTGCTATGGCAGGATACTGTCTTCTCTTGTTCTTGTGTTTGTGTCAATCATGGCCAACGGTGAATTGCCAACATACTTGGCAAGAAGCCTTCAAAGCACTGGGAATCAGTTACAATCCAGATGGCACATTGAACAGACAAATCCAAATTCCTATGGTGAATGCTACACCATCTGTTGATCCAACAATGCCTACTCCCGTGGCCCTCTCGTCAGACGTACGTATCAGTGCGCTAAGCAAAGCCTTCGTCCGCCTCTATCGGCCGGTGAATCCCCCGGCTAATACCAAGCTGCCACTCATCATCTACTTGCATGGAGGCGACTTCGTCTTGTATAGTGCATCAACTGTCATCTTTCATGACTTCTGCAACAATATAGCTGCGCAGTTCCCGGCTGTCATAGTCTCGGTTGAGTACCGGCTGGCCCCAGAAAACCGTCTCCCGGCAGCCTACGACGATGCCTTGAATGCTATCTTCTGGGTTCAGTCTCAGGCAATAGGTTACTTTGGCCGCCATCCATGGTTTCAGTATGCTGATTTTTCGAGAGTTTTCTTATTGGGAAGTAGTGCAGGTGCCAATATAGTTTACCATACAGCCCTTCGTGTACTGGATTTCAATCTTCAACCATTAAGAATTCGTGGAGTACTACTGAATCAGGCATTTTTTGGTGGAATTCAAAGCACTCCATCAGAGCTTAGACTTGTTGACGATCCTTATGTTCCTTTGTATGTATGTGATGTTTTGTGGCAATTGGCATTGCCTACCTATGCCAATAAAGATCATGAATTTTGTAATCCATTGACTGGTGGATCTTACCTCGGACGGGTCCCACGTTTGCCGAAATTCTTCGTGAAAGGCGATGAAGGGGACCCTTTGGTGGATAGATCGAAGCAGTTAGTTCAGTTGTTGCAGTCATATCGAGTACCAGTGGTATCTCAATTCAACCAAGGAGGTTATCATGGTATAGAACTTTCGAACACGACAGCTGCTCAGCAATTGTATACTGCCATGAAGAATTTTGTCTACTCTACTGGACTTACTGAAGATGAGAACTCACAAGCTTCTATGTGATTAGTTTAAGCCTCCAGAATAGGCCATGTTTTCTGAATTTCATCTTGTATCTTTGTATCAATTCATCGTGCTCCATTCTCTTTGTTTCAATAAAATAAGGATAATGTTGTCTGTGCAGCATAAGTTACCGAAAGTTTGATAGAACGCCCACATGGCGCACAAACAATGTTGTCCTGTTTTAGTGATGATGAGATTTTGAGAGAATTTCTCGTCACGTCATCGTTCTGTAATTTTATCTGTCATCCTTGATGCATGTATATCAAGCATTACTCACCAAATAAATGTCGACGTTGAAATGAAATTTTTTCTATTATGTGACATGGATATTCAACTCAATTTGACAATCCTTCCTCCCCAGTTGACGTTTTAATGTATTTTATATCATTTGATAGTGGGAGACAGAAGAGGGTACCTACTTTGACTTTAAAAAATGTAAATAGATCTTTGAATTGTGGAAAAGAAAAGAAAAGAAAAGAGAAGAAAGGGAAAGGGTTCGTCATAACGTGGAGACTAAGAAAATTACCAAATCTTCACAAAATCCATTCATGAAATGGAAAAATAGAATATCTGTCGATTCAAAAATTGATGTCAATAAATTCATTGCCACCTGAACAAGCTATTTTAATATCGCGTATTTTCCTTGTGATTTTTTAGGTATTTAGAAATTTCTCATGTCTAAAGGCTTCAAGTCTTTTTACTATTTCTAGACATGTGTCGTATTGTCATTCGATGTAAATAATAGATTTTAATTCTAAATGGTTATAAGACTCGTGATATTTACTTGTGTGATTGGTTATTACTTTCACGAGATTTTCTAAATCAATTCTCTCACGTGCTCTCCTAATGGTTTTTCTAATGTAGATTGAATATGAAATATTTTAGAGCTAGACTCCACTGTGAGCAAAACAAAGCTAAGGCCCCGTTTGGTACACATTAATATAAAAATGAAAATGAAAAATATAGACGTTACCGGCCCCACACAAGAGATAGAAAGTCAAATATGATAGCTTGATGTGATAAATAACAATCATATTTTTCATTTTAATGGACAAAAAATATGAAACAAACGGGGGCTCAGAAACAATATTCCAGCACTGTAAAAAAGCATTCGACTCAAAAGCCTTGTTCAACCAATATGCTTCATTTGCTCTCTACATCTCCCATTACTCCTCATGTATCAAACACTATAATATTAAGCCCACGTTTGGTTCACCTAAAAGCTAGATTAAAATATAAGTCAAAATTAAAAATTAATTTTAACCACAAGTTTCATCGGATCCACAATTCTTCAACTATATATTCCATCAACTTTTATCAAAACGTCTTAAAATTTGGATTTTTATCTAAACCAATCCTCAATTATCTTCCTAAAATCCTAAACTGAGACTCAAAGCGGATGGCTACCGTCTTTTTTTGTGTGTGTACAAATGTCTCTACTAGTTCTTTTTCTTTTTTTGCCTTTCTCCGCAAGCATCTCGAATGCACTCTAGAGATGGAAAGCTTTAGAAATAGACTACAATATTAATAATTTTCCTACTAAAGAGAAACCCAAATAGAAGTAATTACTGTCCTTCTAATTGGTAACTAGTAATCAAAGTCCATTGGAACTCTACATTGCAGATACCATGCAATTCTAGAATAGCATCCATCACAAGCTTGTCTCCATTTCATACGCGCCATGAATATACATGCAAAGCGAGATTTGATCAGCAGTAATATTGTTCCCGCACAAGTGGGAAACTTTATCTACGATCACCGTGTTATTAACTGGGACCTTCTCTTCGTACCCAAATGGCTCAACCTCATCAAAATGTTTCTGCCATGTCATGCAAATCATCTGACACTAATTCCAAATGGAGTAAAAAACCTAGGGCACAGTGATATACAAAATACAGAGATCGAAACCCCAAATCGTATAAAATCTATCAAACTATTACAGCTAGATCTAATCACCAAATATTAGAGTTGTAAACTGCACGACACCGTTAGTTCGGTTAGATCAATTGTACAGTTGAATGGTTAGTTTAGTTAGTTTTCGAGCTGTCATCTTTTGGTGGGAATTCTGTATTATTTATACAGCTTTGTAGTTACATTTACGTGATTTTGGTTCAATAATAAACTTCTCATTTTCTTCCCCATTCTGAATCTGTTATGATATCAGAGCAGATCTTCTTCTGCGCAATCCTTTTCATCCTCTTCTATTAATCCGATCCTCGATTCAGATCTGAAATGGAGTTAACAAAACCTGAAGATAGATCTGATTTTAGATCGTCCACTAGTGTGTCTGCCATTGATGAATCTTCAAGCCCTTATTTCCCTCATCACTCTGATAATCCAAAATTCGTGTTGGTATCACAACTTCTCACAGGAGAAAACTATGCCTCTTGGAGCTGAGCAATGATAATTGCATTATCCGTGAAAAACAAGCTTGCATTCATTGATGGAACTATAACAAAGCCAGACGATTCGAAAGCTGAGTTGATCAATGCATGGATCAAGAACAATAATATGGTAATTACATGGATTCTTAACTCCATCTCCAAGGAGATTTCTGCTAGTGTGATTTATGCATCCACAGCACATGAAATTTGGAATGACCTCAAAGATAGGTTTCAACAAAAGAACGGTCCATGCATATTTCAATTGAGAAGAGACTTGATGAATTTAACTCAAGATCAAAGCAGTGTTAGCGTATACTTCACGAAGATTAAAAACATATGGGAGGAATTGAGCAATTATCGCCCAACATGCAGTTGTGGGAAGTGTACTTGTGGTGGAGTGAAGGAATCGAACAATTACTACCAAATGGAGTACATGATGGCATTCCTCATGGGACTACACAACTCATTCTCCCAAATCAGAGGCCAATTGCTACTCATGTATCCACTGCCCTCAATTAATAAGGTATTTGCTTTAGTTTCTCAGGAGGAAAATCAAAGAAGGATAAACACTGATCAGAATAGAGAAGCTACATTTGCCTTTAAATCTAACAATGTCAAGATGACAACCGGATTTGAAGCTTACAGCAATAAGCCACGTTTCGGAAGCACAGGTTACATTAAGAAGAAGGAGAGGGCTTATTGTGCATACTGCAATATCCATGGACAGTCCATCGATAAATGTTACAAAATTCACGGTTATCCTCATTGCAACAAACCAAGGTCTAGAGATAACTCTTCGAGTCACAACTCTATCAATCAGATATCTGCATCCTTCATTACACAAAATGAAGACAAACAACCTAGTATACAACAACATGGTATTGGGAACTTTGTTCAAAACTTGAATTCTACTCAATACTAACAGTTGATGTCTATGTTGTCCACTCACTTGGCATCCAGCTCCAGTGCAACAGAAAATGATCACCAGGACACTAATATTGCATCTCAGGCTGCAGTTATATGTTACTCTATGTCTGTTAATCCCATACTTTCCTCCAAAGATATTTGGATAGTAGATTCTAGTGCTACAAAGCACATTTGCTCTATTGCTGCTGCATTCATGAACATGAGAACTATATATGATTCAAAACTGGTATTGCGTGATGTATTGTTTGTCCCGGAATTCTAGTTTAATCTACTGTCAGTTAGTGCCTTGACTCTTGGATCACAACTCACATTGAGTTTCTTTCATGATTGCTTCATCATTCAGGATATCCACTCCAAGAAGATGATTGGCAGGGGTGATCGAGTACAAGACTTATATGTTCTTGATATCGATGTTCTAAATTCTCTTTCTAACTCTTTTTTTAACAATGTTTCTGTAAATGTGTGGCACAACAGGCTTAGTCATCTTTCCTTTAAGAAACTAGACTCCTTGAAGAATCAATTGTTGTGTGATGTTTCCAAATTCAATAAACACATGCCTTGTTATATTTGGCCCCTTGCAAAACAGAGAAGGCTGTCATTTGATTCGAATAATAACCTTTCAAATAATCCATTTGACATCATACACTGTTACATTTGGGGGCCATACCAGTTCACTTCATACTTGGGTTATAGATACTTTTTAAATTTGGTGGATGATTGTTCAAGATTCACTTGGCTATATCTGCTGAAGCAAAAATCTGATGTTATAAGTATAATTTCTAGATTTTTCAATATGGTCAGTACTCAGTTCAATGCTAAAATTAAAATGTTCAGATCAGACAATGCCAATGAATTGGCGTTTGAAAGACCACAGCAAAATTCTGTGGTCGAGAAGAAACACCAACATCTCTCAAATGTGGTCGGATCACTATTTTTTCAGTCAGGAGTTCCCATAAAATTTTGGTCTGACTGTGTATTAACTGCAACATTCCTTATTAATAGAAATCCATCTCCTATATTGAAACTCTAAAGTTTAATATTCAGTATTTTTTACTTTTCTAGTTATTAATGGATTTTACTAGTGATGATGTTAATCAGTTTGGTGGTAGCTCAAGTACTCCATCTGACTATGATGCATGTCAAAATGTTCCAATTGATTTGGAAAATATTGAAGAGAAAGAAGTACTAGAGACTAAAAGGTCGAAAAAAGAATCATCGGATTGTTGGCAACATATGACACTTAAAAAAAAATTGGTGTTCAAAATGGAGTCGATATTTGAAAATCATGTTGTAATTACTGTGGCGAAGAACTTAGTTCGAAGCCCTTCTCGAGCACAACGCATTTGAATAGACACGTATTATGAAGTTGCAAAGTGAAACCAATCGATCTCGACTCAACACAGACCGAACTAGTGTTTGGCGGTCCACCTTTGTATATTCACAGGAAAGATTTCGTGAAAGAATGGTTGAAACAGAGATGCCGCTTACGATGATAGACTCGGTAAACTTTACCCGGCTCATGCAGAAATATCTTCAACCCAGGTATTCTTCTTATTGTAGAAATATCCTTCGTTCGGATACGATAAAATTATATAACAAAAAAAAAGTTGCTATTGAAGATCTAAAAAATTTTAATAGTGTTATATCGTTTACATCTGATTTATGGACTGGTGGTAATAGAAAATGTTATATTGCTGCTACGGCTCATTACATTGATCAACTGTGGCTTTTACATAAAAGGAATATCGCATTCAGTTGTGTAGATTTTTTCCATAATGCCACTAACTTATACATGGTCTTAGAAGATATCATACAGGAATATGATATACAATATATGGTTTGGAATTTTATTTTTGATAATGCTGCGGTGAACAAAGTTGTTGTTGAAAGATTTATTATTGATCTTAACCCCATATTTGGAAATTTATTTTTTTCATCAACGTTGTCTACGCCATATTATCCACTTGATTGTAAAAGATGGATTAGAACATATAAGTTCACCTTTAAATAAAATTAGAGAAACAATAAAATTTATTACTGTGTCACCATCAAGAAAGCAAGCATTTAACAGTTTGTGTGCAGAGTATGGATTACAGGAGAAATCATTTGCCCATAATGTAACACATAGATGGAACTCTACATATCTTAAATTACATTCGTGTGAAAAATACGATAAAGTGATTTCACTGTATTATAATGGTAGGTGTACACTCGGACCCGAATATAATTTGAAACATTGAGAATGGTCTATTGCATTTTATGTGAAAAAATTCTACAACCTTTTTTCGTGATACAAAGGAATATAGTGGTGTTTATTACCCTACATCTTCACTTGTTTTACAACATTTTTTCTACATTTTACAAGCATTTCACAAATACAAGAATTTGCCACTTTTCTAATGTAGTCTGCTCTATGGAGTTAAAATATCGTAAATATTAGGATGAGTTGCCCTCTTTATTTCTTTTAACTTGAGTAATGGACCCTCGACTTAATTTAACTTGCACAAAAGCCACTGTAGAGGGGATATTAAATTATTTGAATATAAAATGATCACGTGTGCATATGGAATCTCTTTTATGTGAAACGTATAATTATTATGCTAAAAAGGTAGGTTAGGGTAGTTCTATTTTCCAAGTTTTTTTTTTCAAGAAATGTTTCAAGAAATTCAAATAATTTATGGAATTATTTGAAAAGCAATACAAGCGTTCCTTCATTTAGTTCTAGTTCTAATTCATCAATATCTAGAGTGATCAATGTTGGTGATACAAATTTTGAAATTCCTTCTGAGTTAGCTAGGTATATGTGCGTGGATGTTCATAGTGTGTTACAACCAAAAGAATTACAGGAATTTAGTCTTCTAAATTGGTAGAGGTGTAACGAAAGGTAATATTCAATTGTATCAAAAATTACACGTGATCTACTAACACCTCCGGTGTCTACGATAGCATCGAATGCTGCATTCAGTTTAGGTGATCCAATTTTATCAGATAAACGATTAAGACGAAAAGAAAATCTATTGGTGGTTTTAATATGCTTGAAAGATTGGGAATGTGTGGAATTACGAAATCAAGAACATGTTGACACCATAATGGCCGAAAAGTTGCAGCAGATCCAAACATAGGATGTTGTAAGTTTTTAAATTAATTATTTTTCTTTAAAAAATATATTTTTTAAATTTATTTATTTAATAAAAATTGTACACAAAATATTTTATTCGTGTAGAATTTTAACTCCACCTACGTTGATTGTAGCTGATCCCAAGCTCGAAAAAGGGAAGATGATTGTAACTTATAACTTTTATTTAATTTGTTATTTGTATAAATTACGTAATTTTGTAAGTTGTAACTTTAATTTAATTTGTAATTTGTATAAATGATGTAATTTTCAAATTCTTTAAGCTTAAGTTAAATTTGTAATGCGGTTGAACATTTTAAAAATATTCAACTATAGCTATTTTAATATATCAAGAGAGCTTGATTGAAGTAGATTTTTTAGAATATAATTTACTCCTATTTGGTTTGGTTAAAAATTAAAAATTTGGTAAATCTTTATAAAAGTTGACAAAATTCCAGTCAATTTAGCTCTTTTCGGAAGCGAAGATGGTTCCCCTTGAATCGGTTCGGACCACCCGACACCAATACTATATTCGTAGAAGTAGAAGGAGAATCCTGAGCGATGATGGCATCCTCAAAGGTTACTGACCCGAGGCCGTCTGACGTGTAAGCTTCGTTGCCCGAACACGATTGGTGCTGACCATACTAGGTGCTACCTTTTATCCATACCGAATCCAAACTTGGATTCCTGACCCAATCAATCCAAAATTTAAAGAGCTGCCTGGTGATCCCTATGTTGCAGCACATGTCCTTATCTTTCTAGTGGCTTTGTTCCAGAGTTTATCTTTTATTTTAGCAAGTACTGTAGAACAATGATTCATGAGTTGTTTATTTTATAGTCTCCATAGAATAAGCAATGTGAACTGTCTGTGGACTATGCCCCCGCGAGAGCCCTCTATTTTACCATTTTATTGAGTTTTCCCCTTATCTTTTTGCAAAAAACTGCTCCACGATGGTAAAGTCTCATCTTGTGTGTTGGCCAAAGTGACAATAGTCACATTGAACCCACGAATAAGTGATTAGAAGTTGATCCCGTAAACATATGATTAAAAATAAATTTTAAAAAATTGGGAAGAAACATGAACTTTATGAAAAGTGATTTTTTTTTTTTTTTTTTAAAAAATTTCTTAAAAAATTAAAAAAAAATTTTAAAAAAAAAAACCAAAAAAAAAAAAGAAAAAGAAAAAGAAAACCTAGCCGTCTCGGCTCGTAAAGACCCGAGCCGTATTTTTCTGATCGAGCTTTTGCTCGGCTCGATTCGTTGACATCCCTATACTCAGGTTATAGATACTTTTTAACTTTGGTGGATGATTGTTCAAGATTCACTTGGCTATATCTGCTGAAGCAAAAATCTGATGTTGCAAGTATAATTCCAAGAGTTTTCAATATGGCCAGCTCTCAGTTCAATGCTAAAATTAAAATGTTCAAATTAGACAATGCAAATGAATTGGCATTCACTTAATTTTTCGCTGACAAAGGGATAATGCATCAGTTTAGCTACGTTGAAAGACCACAACAGAATTCTGTGGTCGAGAGGAAACACCAACATCTCTTAATTGTTGCCAGATCACTATTTTTCAGTCATGAGTTCCCATATAATTTTGGTCTGACTGTGTATTAACTACAACATTCCTTATTAATAGAACTCCATCTCCTATATTGAAGCACAAGACACCTTATGAAATCTTACATAACAAACCTACTGACTATTCTTCTCTAAGGGTTTGGATGCTTGGCCTTTGCATCTACATTGATTGCCCATAGAAACAAGTTCCAACCACGAGCTCGAGTGTGTGTATTCTTGGGATATCCTTCTGTGGTCAAGGGATACAAACTTTATGATGTGGAAACAAAACAAATATTTCTATCAAGGGATGTTATATTCCATGAAAATATCTTTCCCTTCATACTGTCACAACGGATGATCATCTTTTTGATCCTTTCCTTGACCCGTTCCCTATCAAAACAATCATCCGGATTTATCCAATAACCATCTGAAACACAATTCCTCTTTTACTCCATCTGATCATACTCACATCTCACCTTCTATTGATCCATCATCTCTTCCATCATCATCGACTGCATTAACACCAACTCCAAATGATATTGTCCAGCATACTGATCAACCACAAATACATGAGCCTCAACCTATAACCGCCACACGACAATCCCAAAGAACCACTAAACCTCTTAAATATCTTAAGGACTATCATTGTAACTTGCTTTCACAAAATCTCAAACCTACTTACCAACCACCCTGCCAAATTGACCACTTCATATCTTATAAAAACCTATCTCCATGCCATAGACAATTTGTTTTAAATGTATCATCTCAGGTTGAGCCACAATTTTTCCACCAAGCTATCAAACATCCTTAGTGGTGTAAAGCCGTGAAAGAGGAGCTAAAGGCCATGGAGCAGAATCATACTTGGTCTGTGGTCTCTTTACCCAATGGCAAGCATTCGGTTGGTTGCAAGTGGATATTCAAGATTAAATACAAGTTCGATGGGCCTATTAACAGACACAAAGCTCACATTGTAGCTAAAGGATGTACCCAACAAGAAAGCTTAGACTATTTTGATACATTTCGGTACTTGAAAAGATGACCTGGTCAAGGCATATTCTTGTCTGCAAAATCTGATTCTAGCCTGCCCATCAAACTCAGAGTCTTTTCAGATGCAGACTGGGGTTCTTGTCTTGACACAAGAAAGTCCACCACTGCATTTTGTATATTTCTTGGTGAATCCTTAATATCTTGGAAAGCCAAACGCCAATCTACCATGTCTCGTTCTTTAGCTGAAGCAGAATACAGAACTCTAGCTGCCACCATTAGTGAACTCATTTGGATTAACCAACTATTGAGGGGCTTCAGCACGGTGACAGCTTCTCCTGTAGTCCTTTTCTGTGATAATCATGCTGCCATCCAAATTGCTACAAATCCCATTTTTCATGAACGGAGAAAACAACATCAGCTTGCTGATGTTTTCACTAAACCCCTTCCAACTTCAACATTTCTTCCTTTGTCATCCAAGACGTCTCTAAAGAATATTTACACTACATCATGAGGAGGAGTATTAGAGTTGTAAACTGCACAGCACCGTTAGTTCAGTTAGATCAATTGTACAGTTGAATGGTTAGTTTAGTTAGTTTTCCAATTATCAATCAGCTGTCATCTTTTGGCAAGAATTCTGTATTATTTATATAGCTTTGTACTTACATTTACGGGATTTTGGTTCAATAATAAACCTCCCATTTTCTTCCCCATTCTGAATCTAATAAATGGCACCAGGATAACAGAGATATGGGCTCAAATTCATTGTAACCTTTTGTTTCAAAATGACCCACAAACCCAAACCCAAACCCAAAAGACTCAGTTGAAGCTGCCTTAATGGACCAAAAATTTTAACCCTCAAAGACCCCAAACTTCTTCTCTCACACTCTGAATCACAAAGATTCACACAAAAATTTACTCAGATCACTGAAGAATACGTCCAACTAGAGGTTGGAGACAAAAGGAGAGAAAACCTTAGCCTCTCGCAAAAGAATCTCTCATTTAAAATGAAAGAAGAAACCCTAAAGAGTTTTATATAAGCACCATTGATCTCATGACCGTTAGATCAATGGTCCAAAGTAATTAGCAACTTATCAATAATCGATACAAGCAAAGTTACATGTTGGAAACACGATATAGGCCTTTTAAATGGGTTTGGGTTATTGGGCTACATCAAACTTTATGAGACAACAGAAAAAGGGGGGGGAAATCATAAATCAAGTACTAAGTATCACCAAATCAATTTTTCTAGCCTTAAGTTTAAAAATACAAAAATCGGGCACTTATTAATTAAAAATATTTTATTAATTAATATAATAAGGTCGTAAAGTGCATAATTACAGGTCACAACTTATTTATTGGTCACATATTATCAAATTAATTGGTTAATGATTATTTTGAGATCACAAATAAAAAAATTATAGTTACAATTTATCTATCACTCACATATTTTCAAATTTATTGGTCACAAATTATTTTTTAGTCACAAATTATCAAATTTTAAGATCAAATTAAATAGTTGATCACAGGTAAAACAAATAGTTGGTCACGTACACTAAATAGTGAGTCACATACCATCTTTCCAACACTATTACCACAGCTATTGCTACCGTCACTGCCACTGCCACTGCCACTGCCACTGCCACCACGGCTACTTACAACCCCCTCACCTTGTTACGTTGCCACCACCACAACACTACCACTAATAAAATCGCCACTACCAGATCCAATTTATTATGAACAAAAATCACGACAACCACCTCTATTAGATCTCTAGCCATCAACAAACACCTCCACCACTACAAAATTCCACCACCACTACCACCACTATTGCACTACCACTACCACCACCACCAATAATAACCCAACAACCAAAACAATCACCAACGAGAACAAAGAACCTCCATCTCCATCTCCACCACACCACATCACACATACCACAACCACCACCTAACAAAAAAAACTCCGAACCCATCACCATCACCACGACCACCACCACCACCTCAAATCCACAAAGAACGAATAATAGACAGGAGTTCTTAGGAGTGTGTGCCACCAGATCTTCACTTTCGTTATCACCAGATCACCGTCTTGGAAGTGGGTGCCACTAGATCACTGCCTGTAGTGCGGCATTGTGAGCAGATAAGAAGTGGCACTCACACCCTCTTGTCGTTTCCGTTGTCATTGCTGTAACCAACGGTGTTG